TTTTTTTCTCCCTCTCTCCTTTTCAACCAAAGGCAGTTAGTTTAGTAGCTACTTCTGAATAAAAATCCAGTGACCTCTTAGTTTTCTGGGGTTGTTTTTTTCACTCTCTTACTCCCCTTTTTTGTCTCTGCTCACCACATTTTTGGTTATTTCACGATCTAATTGCTACTTAGCTAGAGGCTGGGCAGGGGGAATACAAGGAAATGACCCTGAAATGAGTCAGTTTTGCTCCTGATGAGGCACTCTGGTGATAGGTCTGGTGGAGAGGAGGTCATAGAACTCTATGCTTAATACCATTACAGTGGATTTCATCTGTCCAAACTTTCTCTCTTTCCCCATCATTATTAACATTCAAGAATTGCCTGTATTACATACCATGGAGCTGACTAATAAGAAATTTCTCTGGAAGGCCGGAAATTACTATCTTTTAAGCAGATATATTACAATGTAGGTTTGGCCCTTGGCAAAATTCTGAAGTAGGACCAAATTTATCCCCTGGCTCCCATTTTAGTGTCCTGTTTCCCTCGATCCCCACCACACCTGCTATTGTACCCACTCCCCAACTCCAACTATTTGCACTTATCCTCTGTCCTATTTATTCCTACAGGCATTTACTCTCACTGAACTTCTGACTAATCCTCAGAAATGTGTTAAATGATAGGAATTTGCACTATAGCAAGTTATTTCTGAAGATGTTCCAGGTGTTTTAAAGATAGAAATCTGTAAGGGCATAATTACAGTCACTTTGATAGATGAGAGGAGGACATTATTGGAACAGAGATGTGGAGCAGAAAGGGGTGTTAGAGGTCATAAAGTCTAACTCCCTCATTTTACAGATGGATAGACTAAGGCCCAGAAAGGTCAGGAAAGGAGGATTGTTGGGTTGTAGGTGCAACCGAGAATTAGCATATCATCTTAGAGTTGGAAGGAACCAACATTTTACCCAATGCATAAAACATTTTCTATAATCTCCCTGACTGATGGTCAGTTAGCTTCTGTGTGGAACTTTCTGAGGGACAATGAGCTAACGTTTCTATGAAGATTGGTTCATTATTAGGATTTTTTTAAACACTTATTGAACCTAACAATGTTAATAACAGGACATAATGAAAAGTGCTTTGGGATTCACAGACTCTGAATTGGGAGACACCTGAATTCTCACAAGCTCTTTTCCTTTGTTGCATTTTTAGAGTACATGACAGCCCTTTGCCTTGTCAAGGCTAATTCCTCTTTTCTCTCTTGGAAGACTGCACCACTTACTATTCTCCAAACATGCATGCTACCACTTGGGGAGGACTTGTAAACGTTGAAGCAGGTCTAGCCAGGTTTCATGAGGTAAAGCCAGGTGTAACTGGCTCTCCAAAAATGAAGGAAAATTTTATAATTAATGAAAGTTATTAACATTTTCTCCATCACTTTCTTAAGTTTAGAGTAGATGATCAACAGAACAATCAATCAGGCCCAAATTTGTGTTTGCAAATTTCTGAGATGTGAAATATTCAACTGAAAATTTAACGAAGGGCTTTTACCAACCCAGATAAGCTAGCTCCAGCACACCCCTACCTCCTACCACTACTACCACTAACCCCATATTAACACGCTCCCTCTTTACTGACTACAAACATTATGAGGTGTCCCCCATCTTTAAAAATAAGTACATATACATATAATGAGTTGTTATATAAATAAGTGAATAAAGAAATAAATGAACAAATAATAAACTTGCCTTGATGTGCCTATTTTCTCAAGTTATCATCCTTTTGCTCCTCCTTTTCATTGTTAATTCTTCTTGAAGAAATAGGCTGCATTTGCTGCTTCTGATTTCCCCAAGCCATTATGGTCTGGCTTTTGATATCCCCACTCTGTTGAAACTCTTCTCTCAAAGGTCACTAATGATTTTTGAGCTGCAAAAACTTAGGGCATTTTTTCAGTTCTCATCCTGCTTGATCTTTTTATCGCTGTTAACACTGTTGTCTATCCCTTTTTCTTAGATACACTCTCCTTCCCTGACTTCCAAGACATTGATCTTTCTTGCTTCTCTTCCTGTTTGTTTCACTGCTCTTTCTTAGTTTCCTTCAATGATTCATTTTATCCTGCTTCCACCCTTAAGTATGGTTGTCGCATAGGGCTCTGTTCTGGCCCATCTTCTCTCCTTCTCCTCCCCTCCCCTCCTCTCTCTTCCTTCCCCATTCTCTCTGTCTCTCTCTCTATTGCTGTCTCTCTTTATGTATGTGTGTGTGTGTATACATACACACATACATATATATATACATACGTACACATACATACATATATATATATATACATACATACCCTTTGTTTTTATGGTCTCATAAGCTCCTGTGAATTATCATGTAGATAACTACCAAGTATAAATACAACATTTCTATATATCTCTATCTGCCCAGCCCCTAATTTCTCCCCTGAGAAATTTCTCCATATTTCCAATTGATTCTTGGCTACCTCCAAGTGAATGTCTTGCCAGAACCTCAAATTCAAGATGTCCATACTGAATGTATCCCCTAAACCTGCATATCTTTCCAATTTCCCTATCTCTGGGGATAGAAACACCATTCTTCTAATCATCCAAAATGACTTCAATCATTTTGATCCTTAAACTCCCCTTTTCTACTTACATCCCATCAGTTACGAGGCTTATTGATGCCATCTCTCATCATCTCTTATACCCACCTCTTTTTCTTCACCAGCCCCCTACCCCCCATTTAAGCTTTCATGACGTCTCATTTCTCTTTTTATTGTCACTGTATAGTCAACTCTTTGTGACCCTGTTTGGGGTTTTCTTGGCAAAGATATTGGAGTGATTCGCCATTTCCTTCTCCAGCTCATTTTATGGATGAGGAAACTGAAGCAAACAGGATTAAATGTCCAGAATCACATAGCTATTAAATGTCTAAGGCCAGATGAGTCTTCCTGACTCCAGGCCCAGCACTCTGTTCACTATACCACCTCACTGCCTTCTCTTTTTTACAATCTTTCTTTTTACGCTAGCCTCCATTTTGTGCATCTACTACACAACTGGGTTAATCTTCCTAATGCTTAGGGCTAACTGTATCACTCTCCTGGTCAAAAATCTTCAATTGCTTCCAATTTCCTAAGGAAAAAAATTACAGATTCCTCAGTGTGGCATTTAAGTCCTCCATAATGTGGCATTCATCTACGTTTTGAGATTTATTTCACATTTTTCTCTTTAATTGAGAGACAGCTGAGAAGCAGTACAGGCTATAGAGAGCCAGCCTTAAAGCCAGGAAGACCTGGATTCAAGTCCTACCACTTTAATATCCTGTCAGTGTAACCCTGAGTGAGTAATTTAACATCTCAGTACTCCGGTCAACTCTCTAAAATTAAACCTTGCTGAAGGGATGTAAGCCTGCATTAGTAGAGGGTGTTTCCTCACCAGGGAGTTCCCTGTACCAGTGAAATCACGGACCGGGTCACTATCCATCTCCACTTCATATATTGCCTGTTCTAGTCACACCAGATTACTAGTCCTTCCTGAACTTTCCATTCTTCCTGGTGTATCCTCATACCTATAATATACTTCTTCATCTGTATGCTTCAAAAGCCTTATTTTACTTCAAGGCTAAGGGGACTGGCCACCACCCAATTAGAAGGAAGAAAAGAAACACTAATTTATTAAGTAACTACTCTGTGTCAGGTGCTGTGCTGAGTACCTTGCAAATATTATCTCATTTGATCTTCACAGCAAGCCTGTGAGGTAAGTGATATAGTATTCCTATTTTTCATTTGAGAAAATTGAGGCAGGCATTAAATGACTTACCCAGGGTCACATACATAGCTGGGTAAGTGTCTGCAGTCATATTTGTACTGAGGTTTTTCTGGTTAGAGGCCCAGAGCTCCCTATGCCAGCTAGCTTCCCCTGCTTCTGGAGAGTCTTCCTGGATTCATCCAGTTCAAAACATTTCCTCTCTCCTCAGCTTTTGCTGCAGTATTTCTGTCTTTTCTGGATTTTTCTCTGGATTATCTCTCATCAATTCCTGACTTGTATTAGGCCTCTCTGTACACATACATTTTTCTTCCCCCCAGTAGGATCCAAATTCTTTGCAGGTAGATGCTGTCCTTTTATATCTTTGTATCCCCAGGGCCTGGCTCATAATAGATGCTTAATAAAGATTTATTGAATGAATTGATGGAACCCTGGGGTAATTTAGTTCAACTTATCCATACTTTAGTAAGAATAGCCATGATATATGGTCATCTAGCACTGCTGGACAACATGAGGTGAGACTGGGGGAGGAGAGAATTAGTTTTATATTAACTAAATCACAATTTGGAATATATATCCTTAATACTAAACATTGGGTTATATTTGAGCAAAATATTTTTCTCTTCTTGTCTCATTATTTCTTGATCGTATTATATTTTCAATATTTCTTCTCACCTGGCACTATAGCAACTACTCTCAGGCACTATGCTTTCGATTAATGAATTCATAATATTTAAGGACCTCTAGCCCTACCACAATATACTTCAGCCATTCCCCTCCCCCACAAAAAAAAAATCACCTCCTCCCCTTCCCTTGGAACAGTAAGGAAATCAACACTACCATTCCTAGAAAGGACATGTCAATCAATTACCCTATGACCAATCCTATGTCCAACTCTTCATGATCCCATTTGGGGTTTTCTTAGCAAAGAAAAGTGGTTCACTATTTCTTTTTCTAGCTCATCATACAGATGGGGAAACTGAGGCAAACAAGGTTAAGTGATTTGCCCAGGGTCACATAGCTAGTAAGTGTCTAAGGACAGACTTGAACTCAGGAAGATGAGTCTTCCTGATTCCAAGCCTGGTGTGCTATCCACTGTGCCACCTAGCTACCCCTATAGTAAGTTAGTAGAATCTAGTAAGTGAGGTATCTCCCAACTATCCCCTCTTCATTTGCTTCTTACTCTACTTCCACCATTTTTTAGCCACTTAAAAGATTTTGATCGCTGTGGTAGTCATTTCCAAGAAGGTGTTACCTGTTAATGCTGTTTTTCTGTGCTAACATCTGCCAGTCTTTGCCTTTGGCACTGGGAGTATCAAATGTTGCACATATCCTCTGTCTGATGGAGTAGGGGATTTTGAAGGCTTTGGGGCCAGTCTGTGCAGGGAATGTGTTGTCCTCTTGTGCAAAAAAAGTGATGGTTTCTCTTTCACTCTACAAATACAAAAAGAAGAGTGTGATCAGATCCAACTGTTAGCATCACAAATTCATGATAATCAATTCACATGAAGAATTCTGTCTAATACACTTTATTGTTTAATTGCATTGAAAAAATGGAAGGTAGTCCCTCTTCTTTAAAATACCATCAAGCCTTATCTCATTAGCCTGGCAAATACCTCCTAGAAATCTGCAGTTCTTGTGGTAGATCTCTAGATATCTCTAGACATCATCTAGGTATATTCAATCTAGAAGGTGGTTGTTGGGGTTACAAATTCATCAAGTACTAAAATAGGTAGCACCTCCGTGTGCCATAACTACATGTAGTTAGACATTGTCATATTCTTCTTCTAGTGATCCTTGTAGAATTAGATTTTAAAAATTAATGATTAGGCAAGTCTCACTGGTAAATTTTATAGTTTCTCCCCCAGTCTATAGAGTTATCTCATAATTGTGACTCTCAAATAAATCTCATCACTTCTGGGATGTGGTGATGTCCTTTGATGGTCTCATTTCTTTTTTTTTTATTAATTTATTTTGATTTATCACCAATCACTTCCATAAGTTTTTAAGTTTTAAATATTTCTTCTCTTCCCTTTTTACCTCTCTCTCCAAGATGGCGCACAATCTGATATAAGCTATACATATACAGTCTTACTAAAAATATTTTCACATTACTCATCTTGTAAGGAAGAATTAGAACCAATAGAAGGGACCACCAGAAAGAAGAAACAAAACAGAAGGGAAAAAAAAGAGGAAATAGCATGCTTCGATCTGTATTCAAACTCCATAGTACTTTCTTTGGATGTGGGTAGCATTTTCCATCTTGAGATTTTTGGAGATATCTTAGATCCTTGCATTGCTGAGATCTAAGTCTATCAAAGTTAATCATCGTACAACGTTGCTGTTTTTGTGTACACTGTTCTTCTAGTTCTGCTCACTTCAGCATCAGTCCATACAAGTCTTTCTAAGTTTTTCTGAAGTCTACCTGCTCATCATTTCTTATAGCACAATAGTATTCCTTACATTCATCTACCACAATTTATTCAGCCATTCCCCAATTGATGGGCATCCTCTCAATTTCCAATTCTTTGCTACCACAGAAAGAGCTGCTATAAATATTTTTGTACATGTGGGTCCTTTTCCCATTTTTATGATCTCTTTGGGATACAGCCCTAGAAGTGCTATTGCTGGATGATCGTCCCATCAAAAGTCCTCCTACAAAGGTTTGTGTCTTTTTGGGAGGGCTCAATATATGAAAGACCTTCCTAATAATTATAAACATCAAATGAGGGGTGACAAGCTATATAATTTTTCAAGTTCCTTATAGATCTAAAAGGTTGATTCAATGAAATATTGGCAGTTAAGAACTCAAGCTCTACCAGGTTCTATAGAGGTGAAAAGAGTTGGTCATGCATGGCATTTGTCACGTGTGTGTGGCACAGATATTTTAATTATTTAATGTTTCTGAAAGGCATCCAACATTTACTTTTCTTATGGCACTTATTAAAAACAAAAAACCCAAAAAACCCTATACCTTGACTACTAAAGTTTTACTGCTGGCAGAAGTTTGCCTTACCTCCACCCCTACTCCCAGGATGGTGTGACCCTGGGCACCTTGTGGAATTAATTAACAGCAGCAGCAACTGAACAAAGTAGGCTGGATTGGAAGTGAACGAGTGACAATCAACAAGCACTTTAAAATATATAAATATGGATTCTGAGAGCACAAAAAAAGGAGGAAGTTTCCAACTTTTAATGGCAGTTTGATGGGTGGCCTTGCTTCCTCCTTTCACTTAGAAACTTTCCTATTTTAAATCAGTTCATTGCACAAGGATGGAGATGCCACCAGTCACTTTATATAACATTTACGATGTATTCCAAAAAGCATCTGGACCAGGTAATAAGAATCCTGTAGATACATCACATTTTCTGATTGTTTAAATTAAATATGCAGAGGGAAGAGTAGATTTCATGCCCTGCACATCCGAGATAAGCAGTTGCTACCTGGTTAGATGAGGGAATTGTAAAGCAATGAGGAATTCCAAGTATTCAGTCTATTTTGTTAAATTATCCCCCTACTTCCATCACCTTTGGAGATGGGATAAGAAAACTTGCCACATGATTGAATCTGCTTGAAGGGAAAATTGTAACATGTAAAATTCCCATTTAAACTTCTTTTCCCCAAAAGATGATTCTACTGCAGCATTTTATTGAAGAGTAAAGATGAAAGAAAATGCTCAGAGATGCCTCCCTTTTCTCTACAGCATTAGAAAAATTCCTTGGCCCTAGTTTACCATCTAGAATGTTAAGTGTCATTGGTAACTCTGAAAGGTATCATTCACCAGTGGTCCTTGGTCAATTCAATTGGCTTTCCTAGGCCAACAAGAGATTTATGTTTAAGGAACACCAAATGATAATGAAAGTTCTAAAGTTGGCCTGATACTAATCTTACTTTTTAAAATTCTTCTTCTACGCGTGAAAGAATATTAAAGCAAGGGGGATGGTAGGTTTCCTTAGAAAATTATTTCATTTTTCAGGGTGGAAGGTGATGGTGGATATGGGGTAGACCATGAGGAACTAAATTACTTAAATTACCAAATTTATTTAAATTAGAGAAAATAGAACATTGATATTTGTGGGTTCAAAGTCAAGGCCAAACTGTGACCTGACAAAGTAAGTCTTTTATTCTTCTTGTCTTGCTGTTGAATCTGTGGACCACAAGAAGCTAGGGCAACCAATAGAACTATAACATCTGCACTTTAAGCCAAGAAAGCTTGAGTTCTCATTTTGGAATAGAAAAAAAGTCCAGAAGGGCAGGATGAGATATTAGAGGACATGGACTAGAGTCTGGGCTCTGACACTTTTTTGTTTTATCTTACTATGGATCCAAGCTATATCATGAGCAGTGGCCACACCCCAATAAACTTCTTCAGCAGATGGCCTAGATCAGGTGGAGGGCAACTGACAAGCCTCCAAACCATCAGTGAGTTAGGGGATGTCTACCCCAAGCATGTGAAGACTTTTTTCAGCCAAATGGGTAGATGAGAACAATTTGTTCCAACAGTCACAATGGCAGCTGAAAGAGGCACTGTGGAGTACTTAGAGCTTGGTCAAGCATTGAAGATGCCAAGGTCAGTCACTGGATCCTGGGCATCACCAATCCTCTTGACTTTTGTCCTGTCTCTGAACTTTGATGACTCAGGAAGAGTGAGTGAGGCTGATGACTTTGTGTTACCCTACCTCACTTAAATCCAATTCTTGTACACGTCAAGATACCACTCACAATGTCATTTGTTCTCTTTGGAAACAAAGGACAAACAACAACAACACATTTGTTTTATCAGAGAGAAGTCACTCCATCTCTCTAAATTTCAGTTTTCTCATCCCTAAAATGTAAAATAACCCATGAAGTATGGTAGGGAAAGTGTTAAGGAACTACAGAACTGTGAATCATCATTGGATCTTCATCCTCATCATCACCCTCATGTTCCCTGTTGGTATTGTTTGGAGAGCTTCAGAAACCTCACTTCCACATTGTTTTTGGCCTACAGGGGATGTGACTTCTCTGGTAGGTAGACTAGTAAATGGTGCATCACATGTTATATCACTGCCTAACTCTGCATGGTAAGTTACTGATGATCTAGGGTTCTCAAAAGGGAGTGATGCTCTTTAACAGGTAAAGCATATAATGCCATCTCAATAACCAAGAAGAGAAGGTGGCAGATGAAGAGTTCTGCGAACAGGCTGTGGTCTGCTTTCTCTCCAGCTTAGGGACTTATTTAGTGATTCTAATTTTGCTTTTCCTTTTTGTTCATTCCCCTAATCGTTCTTGGTTTTGCTGAGGGGTGAGGAAGGAAGGCAAGCAGTTTTTGTCTATGAGCATACACATTCACCTAGTATCAAATGATCACAGAATAGAATGGACCCTAAGAGACCATCTGATACAGGCCCCTTCCTTCAGGTAGGTCAATATCCAAATCTGGGAGGGTTGTCTATTCTCTTTCTGAAGAAATATGGAGATGGAACTTTTTAAGGATCATGTTTTAGCACATTGTTATGAGTGAATGAAAAATAACTTATGAAGCACCTACCATGTGAAAAGCATTACGTTTAAAAATAGAAAAGCAAGACAGTCCCTGCTCTTAAGGAGCTCACATTGTAACTGGGGAGATAACATGCATACAGTTATCCCATCCACATCGTGAGGCTTAGGGGTGCAGCACCCCTGCAATCTGGAAAATTTACATGGGTAAAGTCTTTTGGCCCTCCCCTTGTACCAGAGAAGGTCTGATTTTTTTCTTTTTCTTTTATGGGGTGTTTATAATACCTTATGTTAAAATGTGGATTGATACTATACAATAGTATACATATATTTTATGCATTTCTAAATTACTAAACTTTTTCTGTGTCATTTGTTGGCCTTTGTGTGTCATCTATGGCTTCCATAAAACTCCCCAAAACTTCCCATTCATTCATTTAATTTCTTATGCTTACCCATGAGGTATATATATAAATCTTGATAGGGAAAGTTGCAATGTGAAAGGGATAACTATAAACAAGCTAGATGGGAAAGCACTGTCTTTAATGTCATTTCAAAAAGATGTTTATCATTCTTTTGTGCCTTCCCTGATCAACCCAGAAGCTTATGACTGTTCTGCCTTTGGACATTAAAATATTTTGTTTTGCACCTTCTCTAATGTACTATCTATTACTGTGCATTGTTTGAGTATGTGTTTATTGTTTTTCGCCAAAGTCTAGGTTGTAGTATGGTATAAGAAAAAAAGTAATACCTTTGCAGTCAAAAGACCTGAATTTGACTCCTGGTTCTAACATTTATATGTGACCTTGGACAAATCATTTCACTTTCTGGGCCTGTTTCCTCATCATTTAGAGGCCTAGACCTCTAAAATTCTTCCCACCTCTACCTCCACCTAGGTCAACTTTTCTCTCCCCCAGCATTCTACTGTTGCCATTTGCCATCTCTGTGACCTTAGGCAACTGACAATGACTTCTCTGATTCTGAGTACCTTCTCCTCCAAAGAAGAAGCCTTTAAAGATAGCTAGATGGCCTCTAAAGAGCCTTCCATTTCTAAATCTAGAATCCCACGATGTGATCACAACATTCTATACATAGCAGAAAGTGAAGTATTTACTTACCTTGACTGTGTTTGTCATGCTGATTCAACCTAAACTCCTCCTGCTTTAGTTTAAACCTATTTCTTTTTACTTTGTCTTCTATAGACTTGTACAAAATATTCCTCATATAAATTCTTCATATATATGAAGAGTGTCTGTATTGCTTAGCAGAGGTGCCATCTTGCTAACAAGTGCAGCATTTAAGACATGTATAAAGTACTAATACAATGCAATGGACCATATCTCTCCACCTGATAGAGACATCACAACACATTCTATATTACATAAGGAGTTGATGCCATCAGTCATTGATATCCTGTCTGCCTGAAAAAAATAAAAAGTAAATCCAATTTCTAAAAGGTAAAAGTTTATAGAGGAATTGCATCAATTTGGCCCAACATCTCCTTAAAATAGGGCTGTGGATTTAAATCTGAAAGCAACTTTGGGGGTTATCTAACCTTCTCATTTTGGGAGATAAGGAAAGTGAAATTCAAATCAATCAATCAATAAAAATTGTTAAGGACCTTTTAAGTTCCAGGCACTGATAAATGCTGGGGATACAAAAAGAGGCAAAAGACAGTCCCTCCCCAAAGTAGCTGACTTATCTAAGGTTAAATAGGAAGCAGATCAGACAGCCAGGCAGCATAGTGGATAGATTGGTGAGTTATTATTGTTTGTCCTTCCTTCTTGAAGAGGACCATGACATCAGGGAGGTGGATGGCATGACATAAAAGTGAATTGGATTTAAGTAAAGGAGGGCTGTGCAAAGTCCCCAGCCTCACTTTCTCCTCTGGAATCAGTTAGGTCCAGTGGCCAGGACAACTTGAGATGGCCCAGGACACAGTGGATGCAAAGTGGCTAGATCTGGAGTCAGGCAGACCCTTCCTGAGTGCAAATTTGGCTTCGTACACTTACAAGCTGTGTGACCCTGGGAAAGTCACTTAACCTTGTTTGCCTCAGTTTCTCATCTGTAGAATGAGCTGGAGAAAGAAATGGCAAACCACTCTAGTATCTTTGCCACGAAGGCCCCAAATGGGGTTCCAAAGAGTCAGACATGACTGAAAAAACTACTGAAAAGTTGTAGAGCAAGAGTCTGAATTCAGATCCAATAACTCTAAGTGCTCTATACTACATTAAGCCCCAGAATTGTCTCTCAGGCCTGACAAATTCCACAAGATACTTTTATCATGGAATCCTTTTAGCCTCCTGCCATAGGTAAATTGATTGTGGTTAGTGCTTGAAGTTAAGCTGATGTTGTAGGAAAAAAAAATCCATAGGCTTATTATTTTCCCCTTGAGCTATAAGAGTTCAATGATGTTGAGAACTAACTGTGTAAGATTTTAAAATCCTAACACAATTTTCCTTAGCATTAATATTCTGCAAAAGTTGAAGTTGCTACCTGCAAAGCCAGGGTGCCCTTAGAAGCCCTCTACCTGGAATTCTTTTGTCAACCTCTTAACAGATATTAAGGGTAATTTGCATTGGAGAGAACCAGCATTGTGCCGTTCTCTGCCTTTCCACACTTCTGAAAGGCTGTTTTTCCTAGTTTTTCCCTTTCATGATGCTTTTCACATTTTCTACAATTTATATTTTACTTTGAAATTCATTGTGCTAAGTAGTTCATGACTGCTCAAGCAAAAAAAAAATAATCATAATCTCCAGCTTATGACTCTAGCTCTACCACTAATTCTTCTTTCCCAAGAAGGTGCCTTGCACTAATTGAATGTAATAAATGCAAATCTGGTAAAGACACGCCACTTGAGATAACCATTGGTTTGGAGAAATGGCCTTTTGGGAAATGCTCCAGTATTTAGTATAACAATTATTTTAGAATTAAGTACTACCAAAGAAGAGATGACTGATCAGTGAGTGAAGCGGCAAGGTTACATGTTCTACTCAACTGATCTCACCACTGTCTCTAGTAATGTAACTTCCAGAAAGATTGAATCAGTTCTGAAACTCACTCCTCTTCAATACCTCCTGGTCCTGGGAGCCCCTCCCTTCATCTGATTGGAAAAGGGAGTAGACCCTCACCTCAGAGAGCTCCTCCAGATCCTCTATTTAAGAAGGGGACCCAGAGTACAGATCTCGTCATTTCCCCCACAGTCCCTTGCAGGTTTGCATCATTTTCCTGGTACTTACCTTTCCCTTCCCCTATTCTTCCCCTTTTAAGCTTTTTTTTTTTTTACTGTGTTATCTTCCCCCATTATATTGTGATCTCCTTGGGGAGAGGGGCTATCTTTTGCTTAAGCGCTTAGCACAGTGCCTAGTACGTAGCAGACACTTAATAAATGTTTATTGAATATTGACTATTAACTATGCAGCTATTGGTTAAATAGAAGTATAGGCCTTAACTAATTAATAGCATACTACTATTGACAATGGGTTGTACATATTAATGTGGTTTAACCATTCTGCCAAATCCAAGTCAGGGTTTCTTATCATCTAGAGTAGAGTAAGCCACAATAGAACTGTCTCAACTGGCTAGTTTGTTTAATCTTACCATAGTGCTTCCTATTTGCCATCCTGGAAGAACCACCTCAATAAGAACTCATATTTTTATATCCTTACAAGCCTATGAAACAGATAACATTAATACTATTATTCTAGCTTTACTGATGACAAAACTGGAGATCTGAGAGACAGAGAAAATGATATGCCCAGAGACTCATAGCTTCTAAGAGCTAAAGGTGGCATTCAAACCCAGATCTCTTACACTAAACATTCTTGTTATGTTGAGCTTATAAACCAAGGTCTACAACTAAAAAACTTCATATATTTCTTGGGATGGATCTAAGAAAGGTCCTATACTGGTGAAATATCAAAAGATTTGAGCTAGAGTCTTGGCTCTATTATTTGAGGCAGTTAAGTGCTGAACTTGGAATCAGGAAGACCTGGCTTCAGATTTTGCCTTAGATGTTTACTTATGGCAAATAATTTAATTTCCTTCAGCCTCAGACTCCTCATCTGTAAAATGAGAAAACATATGTAAAGTGCTTTACAAACCTCTACTACTGTCTAAATGCTAGTATTATTACTACTACTTAGTGGTTGTTATTTTGGTTAAGCCCCTTAACATCTCAGCCTCAGTTTCCTTATCTGTCACTTAACCTTTTGTAAAATGAGTATTGTATCCTGCCTGCCCCAAAGGTTTTCCATAAGATTGAAATGATAAAATGAATGCATACTTATTTTGTCAATAGTAAAAAGCCACACAGGTAGAGAATGTTATTTTGTTCTGGTTGTAGATGTAGAAGACAGAGAGCTGGCTTCAAAGCCGGCCCTATGCTCAAGTCCTGATTCTGACACACGGCTGTGTGACCCTGGGCAAGTCATTTAAATTTTTAATGCTCAAGGCAAGCTCTTCTAAGATTCTAAATTGCAGAGAAGGGCTGCCACATTGCATTGAGAGAGGGGGTTTCTTCACTTGAGAGTTTCCCTATGCCAGTGAAATCTCAGGTCCAACACCTCTCCATTTCTGTATTATTACTGTTGTTGTTGTTGTTACTGTGTAACCCTAGGAAAGTCAGTCAATCACTGTTTGCTTCAGTTTCCCAAAATGGTGATAATAATAACACCAAACTCACAGGGTTGTTAAGATTAAATGAGAAAATATTTGGAAGAAGCATTTAGTGCCGTAGCTAGCACAGAATAAGTGCTAAATAAATGCCTATTCCCTTTCCATTATTATCATCATCATCACCTTTATTATTACAAATAGCAATAGTCCTAGGATGAGCCAGTGATGGCCACCACCTTACCTCGAGGATTGATGTCTGCACTTGGAGGATCTGTTCATGGCCTTTGAGCTGCCGGATGCAAATCTTGCAGGACAGCTGGGTGGTGGTGGGAGTGTAGCGCTCCAGGGAGAAGGCACAGTGCAGGGGCTGTCTGTTACTGCACCACACCCGAGAAAATGGGACTTCCTGGCGGTGAGATGGAAGAGAGAAGAAGGGAATGACATGTGGACCCAGCCGACGTGAGCAGAGAACAGGAAAAATAATGGCAACAGTAATAATGATGGCAGCAAAGATAATTGCATACATGCTTTTGATGGAATTGTTTTTGAAATAATGTTCCAGTATATGCCAAGTAGCACAAAACTAATTAATGTCAGTTCCAATTGATAATATTAGTATTACAAGGCTACCACAAGCTTGTGTTTCTCTCTGTGGCACAAATGATTATGAAGAATGCCCTCCATAATGAATCATCTTTTTCTATTCCATAAATGCTTCCTTTTTGAGGACTACAAGAGCCCCTTTTCCAGGACTCTGTCTATGGATTCCTGAGCCAGGGGTGGCAGGGCATTCCTCATCTGTCCCCCCATTCACTTCAAAACAAAAGGCAGTGGAAAGATAAATGGATCTTCTATCAAAAGAGCTGAGTTCAAATCTTGGCTCTGCTACTTGCTATCTGTGTGATCTCAGGAAAGTAACTGGGCCTCAGTTTCCTCTCCTATCAAATTAGAGGCTCAAATAGGATGATTTCTAAGGTCTCTTCCAGCTCTGAATCCAATAATCTTCTCATATGTGCTTTGTATACAGACTACCGTTACACCATCTATACCACTAACAATTAATACCAACTCACAGGCGGATCACAACAAAAAGAGCTATTACGAAGATATGTTTCTGGGCAATAGAAACTCACACTTACATATGTCCATGCACAACAGATACAAATACAGACACAGTAGTTTCTTTTTGCCACTCCAGTTTCATCTAGCCATGCAAAATTTCTCAACTCCTCCTTCTCTTCTTCATACTCTTCCCAACAGTGCCCAGAGAATAATCACTCATGTGGAAAATGAGGAAAATAAAATAGTATAAAAGTTCACCCAGGACGGTACAGTTCCCTACTGCTGCAAACAATTAAAACCAATTGGATTGGGCCCAGGGATGATATTTACAATGATTTCAAGACTCCATTTTTCTTCTCTCACACATTGAAACAACTCTCCTCTCCAAACCTTACTCAGTTTTATAGAATCACATTCCATGTAAAATTTGTGATAGAAGAGCAGAAAGCTACATGTAGTCTAGAGTGCCCACTAGCATTTTGGAGGGCAGATTTCAAAGGGTTTAGAAAAAAGACAGATAGGATCCCATGATTCTATAGAGAAAGTTATTCCAGGCAGGATGGGAAAATCTGAGGAATAAAATTCTGAGGCACAAAGACTAACCATTCATATAAGGAGGATGCAGTGAAGTTGTCTAAAGATAATAATGTGGATGCATAGGAAGCTCACTGATGCAAATGATTTTTTTTATAAACACGCATATAAAATGGAAACAAGGAGGGCCAACAGAATACTAAGACAGAGTACTACAGAAATAATATCAGGACAAAACTGAGACCTAGAGAGAGGAAATGATTTGTTTAAGGATACACAAACAGTAAATTGTACAGCAGGGATTCAAACCCATAATATCTAATTCCAGAATTAGGACTCTTTCCATTATACCATATGTGCCAAGGTTGTGGTCAAAGGCTCAGTTATCTCTGCCCTTACCCAGTTTTATCTCTTTCAAATGATTTATATATCTCTTATTTTGCTTCTCTTTCTATCACTCTCTTAAATGAGAAAAACAAAAATAAACACACACAAACAAAAATAGGAAGGAGAAAAAAAAACATGGCAAGTCAGTCATTTCAACTTTCTGTGATCAAGCTAGCTGTGAACTCTGGATGTCCTTTTAAGTCTAATTACTCAGTTTTCTTCTCTTGTCCTCATATGCTCCTATATTTTCAACTACCGCCTTTCTGTGAACAAAGCCTAACTTTCATGTCCAGTTGTCATCTCATGTTTACATGTACTGAGGCCATCTCCACATCATGCCTCCTATTCTTTGACCATCATTCTGATCTCCCATCCACTGAAAAATTGGACTCTGCCTCTGAATTCCCTAACTATGATAGATGAGCTTTAGCCTTATCTTGATGGGGTCCAGGCCTTAAGGTTTTCTTATCATTCCCTCACTATGTCTCCCCTTTCCATCACTCCATTATATGTTGTCTTCTCCTAGTAGAATTTAAGCTCCTTAAAGGTAGAGGCTGTCTTGCTAGCTTGTATTTGAATCCCCTGCACATGGCACAGTGCCTGGTATATAGAAATCACTTAATACATTCTCTATCAATGACTGTTCAGTATTCTATCTCCACTCATCACCAACAGCTTCCCTTATAGGTCTTATTAATATTTATAGCTGAAGTTTTCAAGAAACTGACTCTTTATCTCTCCCTTTTGTTATTCCCTTCTAATTTTCTCCTCAATGGCCCTTTTTTGGTTTTCCATCTAAATCCAGTCACTCTCAGTGTCTCTGCAATATATCTGTATATTCCTGCTATCACTATGTCTTGCTTTTAGCCATCACCACCCTGACTCATGCATGAATACTTGTCAGTTGTCATCCTGCCTTTAGTGTCTCCTGGGCTACTAACTGCTCTTCAGGCTCTCTGATCACCATCTTAAAATCACATTACTCCTCTCTTCACAAGCCTACCATGGTTAACTTATCGCCTATTATGTCAAATCTAGACTTTTAAGTCCAGTCTTTAGGGACATCAGTCCTAGCTTCTCTTGAGCCACAGTCCTTAGGTGTCCTGTAGATGCCTTAAGCTCTGGGTATCTAAAGCATAACTCCTTATCCTTACTTCCCAAGCGTCCCCCTCTTCCCAGTTGCCCCAATTCTGTCGAGGGCGCCACCATAATTCCATCTTTACAGGTTCATAACCCAAGAGTTATCCTGTGCTAATATTCCCTCTCTTTCATACCTCATGTCTCTAAAATGTGTGGAGTCTTTTTGTCTCTGCCTACACAACATTTTTCACATTTATTCCTTTTCATCCACTCACCCCGTACCTATCCTATTAGAGGTTCATATCACCCCTCACCTGGACCACTGTAATAGCATCCTAATTGGTCTCCTTGCATCTAGTCTCTCCCCTCTCCTACCCATTCTCCCCTCGGCAATGTTCTAAAATATTTATAGCAGCTCTCTTTGTGGTGGTAAAGAACTGGGAACTTTAGGGATGCCCATCAATTAGGGAATGGGCAAGTCGTGGTATACGATAGTGATGGAATACTACTATGCTATAAGAAATGATGCACTCACTGATTTTAGAAAAAAAATGGAAAAACTTGCATGAAATAATGAAGACTGAAATGAGCAGAACCAAAAGAACACTGTATACAGTAAAAGCAATATTGTTTTAAGAACAACTTTGAGCTGCTCAATTATTTTGACTATTATAAATACCCAAATTAATGACAAAGGACCTATGAAGGAAGATGTTACCTGCATCCAGAGAAAGAACTGATAAATAGAAGTTTGTATAGAATAAGTTTACAAATATATGTATGTGTATATAAATATATACATATCTGTATATGTACATATGCATATGTATTGTGTATATATGTATATATATTTGTGTTTAACATTAGCCATCTCTAGGGTGAGGGTGAGAGAAGGGGAAAAAAATTACATGATAAATTTATTATATATTTAAAAGGAATAGCAAGTTGTACTTAATAGATTTGCAGTTTCATGTGCAATAATCTTTTTTATTATTCTACCATGCTATGGAAATGCTTGTTTCATTTCAAAAATTAAATATAAAATAAATAAAACCACAAAAAATAATATTACTAAGGCATAGGTCTGACTATGTCACTCCCGTGCTCAATACCTTCTGGTAGATTTCATCTACTTCTAGAATAAAAACAAAACACAAAACACAAAACAAAACTCCTCACATTTCCTATTGAAAGCCCTTCACAGTCATGCTGGCTTCTATCTTTCCTGGGTATTGATTATTACTCTGCTTTAAACATTGTCAATTTGAGACAAATTGGCCTACTTACTGACCCTGTGAGAACCATTCTCATTTTCCTGCCTGGGACTTGCACAGGCCATTCCACACAACATACCTAGAACGTGCTTCCTCCCCACTTCTGGCCCATAGAATGTTCCAATTAAAGTTCTTCAAGGCTTAACTCCAGTTACACTCCTCACATGAGACCTACCCTGTTTCTCCCAATTTTTAGTGCTCTTTCTTTTCTAATGCATTCTCTATTTTTAGTGCCCTCTATTTTGCCTTCTTTCTCTACAAAAGCAAAACATTTTGAACATCCTATTTTAAGATAGTATCAAAGGAATTTTCTTTACTGTTGACTGAAGTAGCAGCTGCCAATAATAATAAACAAAACATTAACAAATAATACAATTAGAGCCGCTGTGATTAGTGTTTTTCCAGGGCAATCATCTTTGCTTTCATTTATTTAAAAATTTAAAAAAAAAACAGGAAAAAAAGTTCATTGAATGAAAGGAAATATGTGGAAAGTAATGAGAGGAAAAGTGTGGCAAAGTTATGGGTGTTTAAAGTATTCCGGAAATGTTTTCATTTTGATTCCCATTATAATTAGGTTCCTAGCAGATGGAGAGAATGTAAATCATCTCCTAGCAGGAGACAGGCACTGGGTTCTCTAAGATGCAGAGCATGCTGGAAAAGACAGCTGCTTTTATGCTAGTGAGGTGACAGCCTGGCTTTGTATTTGGTGTCTTAATACATATTTTGAAAATATTTCACTGTATACTATGTATAACAGATTTTCTTCACTACATGACCCTCTTATCCCCTCCAACAGAGGGTCAAGTGAAACATGATTAAAGTAGATATAAGGTTCCAGCAAGTCTGCTGAGATTAGAGTGACCCTCCTTCCAGAAGAGGATTCTGACTTTTAGCCTTCCCTTTTTAAATTATTTCTTATTTATTCCGTATGTGGCTTGTTTGTATATATTTGTTTGAGTTCTCCTCCATTAGATTGTGAGGTCCTTGAGAGCAGCGACTATTTTTGGCCTCCTTTTTTATCCCCTAGAGCTTACATAATACCTGGCATATGGTAGGCACTTAATAAATG